TTCCTAAAATTAGATTCCTCATGCTTGCTGAAATTACCCAGGACCCATAAATTCTCATACCCAAATAACTTTTTTTCTTCTTTAAACAATTTTGTGTTGAGAATCTTGATATCCTTTTATCATACTCAAAAGTTGTCTTGACTTCATTTCTCTAAAATGAAAATATTTTCCATAAATCCCTCATTTCCACATTATACATTTTATGTACAAATTTATAAATGAGTAAAAATATATACCTATAACGTCTTCCAAATGAAATCATTCTTTTAATCCTACTAATGTTAGATGAAAAATCAATATTTATCTTGGAGGAAAAAATTCCTGCCTTCATAAGATAAACTTGAATTTTGACTAAATTTTGTATAAGAAGGGTGTCAAGATGATTTGACATCTGTGATTTTACTTATACTCAACAAATTTACTTTACTACTGTCAAATGGAGGCCTAGAGAGTCTTTATAAATTGCCTGAGGTCAAGCAATGAGTCCTGAAATGGGACAAAGATGCAGGTTTGGTAGCTTTCCTCCATCTAAATATTCTAAATCTTAAATTTCTAATGATCTCAAAATATTTTATTTTAAACCATCCATGGTCTAAGTCCTCATTTTAGTTATCAAATACATAACTATCACACAAAGCAAGTACCATGCCTAAAAAGAAACAAATCGAGTGGAGAGCGTGTTTATGGTGAGGGTTGGGGAGACTACTCCCCTAAAATATATTCATGGATTATTTGATAAAGTCAGGCTAGAAGAGCAAAGGATGGTAGTAAATAAATGTCATGCTCTAAAACCGAATTTTGCAGATAGTTTTCAGCATGATTTTTCTATGTTTCACTTTTCACCGTCAGCTGTGAGCTGCTTCCAAGTGTGAAATCGCCTAGGAGAGGAAGCAAAGCTGTCGTCTGACATCTGGGAGCGTGGAGATTGGGCTGCAGTGGAAAGCATTTTGGACTCCTCCAATTTACACACATATTCACCTAAAAATTCTCAAGTCTGAGAAGTATTTAATAAGAAATATCATTCTATTAATAAATTTCAAGCATTTAAAATTAAAGGTTCTTAATGGGATGGAAAAATACAAGTGAAGGAAACACACTGATAGTACAACCATATAAACTTATTTAAAACTAGAATGGGAAACTTAAGTGACTATACATTAGCATAATAACTAACACATAAATAATTTTACTCACTTGTCTTAGATTGCATATTAAACTTCCAAAAACAGCTTTTTTGTGTACGTTTAGTAGTACAGTTTCTATTTTCTAGCTGCTTTTTGATGAGAGTCAAAAACAAATAGTTGTAAGAAAAGAAAAATATACATACTTTCTTGACATTTTACTTTTCTTTTATACTGAAAACAGTACACTGTAACAAAAGTTTATTCTATATTATGATAATAGTTCAAATGATAAAGCACATAACATCCTTTGGCTAAAAACGTTTGTGCCTATGTATGTGTACAAATGGAAATAAAATCAGAGTAACCACAAGGAAGTCCTCTGAAGAAGAATAATCAATTTACCCCAGTTTTTATTCTGTAATCTCTCATGATAAAAAATAGAACCTGTCTAAAAGTCTCCTAATAAAGTATCTAAAAGTCTCCTTATGTGGGAACTAGACGGTGCTGTATTTATATTGTCATGCTATACAATCTATTCCTACTTTGTGGACTATTTCTTTGCTTTTTTTCTTCCTGAACTCCATTCTGTGTTTCTGTGGTATGAAAGAAACCCATTTACCATGAATGATGTTTATTTAAAATAAAACCTTTCTAGAGAATCATCCTAGATAATCTAAGGATACAAAGTGAACCTAAAAGGAATGGCTTCTACTTTGAAAACAGGGCTGGGTTTGATCAGTGAATTCGTATTCTCAAGACCCTCTTGATGGGTCTGCAGCTGCAGCCATTTATGCGCTGGCTTTTTCACAGATGTAGACAGAGAAAGCTCCATGGTTTTTGTCTTTTTGTTGTTGGAATTGTTTTCTTTAATATAAAAAAGTAGCAACTTTTTAAAAAAAAGTTCTCAGTTTTGTTGTAGAAGCTTGTGAATATTGGACATCCTCAGGAGTATACATTGTTGAAATGACTATGACTTTTTAAAATCTAAGATCACAAAGTTGGCAGAAACTATACTTAAATAACAGAAGGTGATCATTTGCATTTCAAAATTTATCTGTCTTGCTTTTCCCCTCAATTAGACCAAAACATGTTGATTCACAGGTTTCTGTGTGTGTGTTTTTTCTTTTTTAAACTTATTTATAGAGCAGAATAATGGCCCCCCTGCTAGTCTGGCATTTGCTCAAGTTTCTGTCCATGTAAATCGAATCTGTTACTGGAAATTTTTCTCAAAATATAAAGGCACATCATCCACAAGATAAAAAGATACATTGCTGATATTATAAAGTACAGGGCAGGTGGATAATGTTTTTAGGACAAATATGTGATAAGGATTCCCAGGAGGGTGGAGTGGTAGGGGTAGAGGTTGCATGCTGTTTAAACAGAAGTGAATTGTTCTCATCATAATCTTATGACAACTTTACTTTCTAACCAAACATCAGCTGCTTAACATGCTTTAGAGTTACTTAACAATAATACTAAGGACAGAGTTGGGAAGTGGGAGGGTAGGGGCCACATGAGAGGGGAATTATTTCATCTCTTAGTGTTTCTAAGGGTGGATCCAAAGGTGGCTAAGTGCTCTATGCCCCCCATGTATTTATCGATTTGTGATTTTTAACTGTTGAAATATTAACATATTATCATTGCTCCCACCCTTTGAGAAGAGAGGAAAGCCTACCTGTAGTTTTTGCCAGTAGCATTGTTATTTAGTTTTGAGACAAACAGCAATCTACACACTTTTGCTTCATTTCCCCTTGTGGTGTAAGTGAGGGGCAGGAGCACATAGACTTTACTGAGTTCTATAACACCCAAGGTTTAAGATCATCTAAATTAGAACATCAGCATTACTTTTCTGTTAAGGCCATTACTGGTTTAGTTTTATCTTGTTGCTAAAACTAACAGGCCTAAGGAATGAAGAGACTTTCCATATTGTGCAAAGCATGCTATAATACTAAAACATTTTTGCTACTCACAAAGCTTAAAAGTGTAATTCTTTTATGCAAATAATTACAACAAAGCACCTCTTCAGACTATAGCTTTTTTCAAAAGCTAGTGAAGGACAACCTGGGAGAGGACAGCAAAAATCTATTAATGGTAGACTGCCACCTGCCGGTAAACTAAGAGAATTATAATTTCTGGGAAAAGGCTTTAAAACTAGAACTTGGAAACTAATCTGTATTAAATTCAGTATTTCATTACACGAGACTGAAAGTATGCATCTGTTGATGAATATAGTATGGTTTTACTGCACATATATTAAAGCTCTCAGGATGCCAACATGTTATGGATATTAAAGTAACATGACTGAGCTTGAGAATAAAGAAAAATAATCTGCTAGAATGCCAAAGTATAAACTTACAGATAGTTTTCAGTAAGAAAGTAGCAATAAAAATAGGAAATAAGGAGCTGGTTATAAACACTAAACAATGACCCCATAAACATTTGGTTTTGTGCAGTTATACTCAACTTCACTTTAGGATATTACAGGCTTCACTCAAAAGAACTCCCAGATTTAATTTTGTTCCTAAAAGCTCTAAATTCATTATAATTAACAAACATATTCATGTACACTGGTACCTAAAATGTTATTTCTTGTCAAATTAGAAAGTGAAAGAGGGGATCTATAAAAAAAAAATCAGATAACTATAACAAAGTGATTTCACTATAAAATTTTTTGTTATCCCATTAACTAAATCTTACTAACAGGGTTTCAAAACACAGCATTACATTACCTATTTGAAAAAAACAAAAAATGTAAGTGTGCTCCTATTGTCTCTAAGAAAAAATAAAATCAAACAATCCCAATTATAGGGAAGAAGGAGGAAAAAAAAGAAAACCCGGTTAGTTGTTTTCAAGAAAGTTTTAGGATATTTGTTTTGTAGGTTAAAAATTTTTGCTAGTCTCCAATACTGAAATAATTCTTAACAATGAAGATTGTAACTAAAAACAATATAGCTCTTTTAATCCTAATTATAATCATTTCCTATTATGCAGAGAAACAAGGTTAGCATCAATACACTGGTTAGCTAGTAAGCATTAAGTACAATATTGAACAACATTGAAGCAGATCATGTCAACACAATCAGCTTGAACTCCTTTGAAGGCCAGTGGGGTGACTTTGGCCATCCAAAGAATCTAAGGCTAGGCAAAAGGTGAACAAACTCTGGATTCAAATACAGTCCCATCTTGCACTGATGACAGAGACAAACTATCTCAAATCCAATTCATAGGCTTAAGCTACCTATAATTTGTCAGCAAAGGACCTAACACCTGCAGATATGAATCTTTCATTTTTAAAAAATAAAGACAATAGAGTAAGGGCAAGAGAAACCTGTTGTGTCAAATATTTGGCTGAACACACTAATTTAAAATAAGTACAACATGCTTTCTAAATTTTCTCAAATACAGAAAACTTAAAAATCTGTTCTAAAATGCCAGGTTCGCTCATCACTAAAATCATATTACATTTAAAAAAAAAACATTTTATCCATTTTTGGCCTTAAGAATATTACCCTTTTAGTCAGCTACTTCTTACATCTTAATAAAAATTATCCATCTAAAGAGGGTCAGGGTAAAGGTAAGGGTCCTTCTAAACACTAAGAAGTTAAGCCATTTCTAAGAAATCATTGCCAGTTCTATGTGAAGTATTATGTTAACCCATTTAATAACAGCAATTAATACACACACAACATATACATACACATATATACCTATGGATTATTTAATGGTTTTAGCCCCACATTTTCTTTTTTGAAGGGTTACACAGATAACCAAATCCAATGCATATGTAAACTGCTAGTGAAAAATACAACTTCTATAAAGAAATGAGCGCTGCTCAACCAGTTTTTCAAGTGAAACATTTTAGGAGATTGCTCTAACCTGGGGCACAGTACATTCTCTCTATGGCATCGCTGTCACAGGAATCTTCAACCTCACTCCACCTGCTAAAATACGTTAGCTGAATGTGTCCTAAAAACAAAACGACAGGAGAAATCAAAACATTTTTCTCTTCCATTTTCTGCAGAAGTGAACTGTAATTACTCCTTTTGTAGCTAAAAACAGTATCATTAAGAATAATGGCATCATTAAGTACTAGAAGCTATTACTGGGGGTGAATTTGCTGCACTGATAATGAAGCTACAGACAGGAAATGAAGATACTAATTACAAGATAAAACGCCTACTCAGTTAATTGGAAGCAACAGCGAATAAAAAGAAATGCATTTGCAAAAGTTCCTGACCTCTATCATTCAATAAGATGTTGTTTGGGTTCAAATCGCGGCACACAATTCCCTCTCTATGTAAAGCATCAAGGGCTACCACCATTTCAGCTGCCCATCTTTGAATGCAGCCCTCTGGGATGTAAAACCTGGAGTTTAGTGCTAATTTTTTATCAAGGTCCTCAAAAATCTGATGTATTTCCTTGTCTCCTTCTAGTGCTAACCTACTTTCTCCCTTAGACTCAGAGTCTCTCTGGAATAAAGAAGTCGGTTCCTCTTTAGCTAAATCATCAGTTTGATCTGTAAACAGCAATACTTCTTCTGTTTTTAACATGTCTGTGTTTGCAATATATTCATTAGCACCTGAGAGTGGACTAGAAATATGCAATAAGCTTTCTTCGGTGTTATCTGTAGTTACTGCCGAATCAACCACTCCAAGTCCTTGAAACTTAGGATCTGAGCTGTGTAACAAAGACATATCTCCTGAACTACTATGATCAAGAGCCGCTACAAATAAGGTCCCAAGATCCTCCTGTGCATAGTGTTTCTCTGTTATACTATGAGATCTGGGCCAAGAGGGATCACTCAATTCCTCTGTGCCTTTCTCTTCATGTGCTTGGCACTGTTCAGTACTAAGACTGAGGCATAAAACATCAGGGGCTTCCAATAGTTTACTTTCTATTATGCCTGTATTAGTCTGTGTAAACTTAGTAGGTCCTATTCCTGCAGCTTCTTTTGTTGGCTCCAATTCACCAGGTAAATTTACAAGAAGATCAGGTCTTCCTTCATCAGTACCACTGACATCATCAAAAGCAGCATCTTTAAATGAAATAACTGGCACTGAGTCATCTGAGCCCCTGCTAATGGTGTCCTGAGCTTTAAACTGTACCAGGCTTTCACTAGTATTAAAACTCTTGGAATTGCTGTCTCCATCTGGAAGAGTAAAGAATGGTTTTAAAGGTTCTGATTTTAAACTATACAATTTTTCTCCAAAATCAAGTCCCAAGAGTTCACTTGTGCTATCCTTACTATCTATCCTAAAAAATTCCATGGGGCTATTTTTGGATCTACTGAGGGAATCTGAAGTTCTTGGAGAACTAACTGCTTCTGGGGCATCATCTCTAGGGAAGAACTTCAGCTCATGAGCTCTTGGCTGAGTGCTGGTGCTGTCACTGTCAGCAACAAGGTATGCTGGGAAGCTTTTAATAGCTGTGGTATCAACACCGTTCCCTTCAGTCTTCATGAAGGGCTCCTCGTTCAAAGACCCTGGCTCAATCTTTTCTTGCCCATATTCATTACATAATGTTAAATAACTAGTAGTGCATTCTTCTTCTGAACTTGAACCAGAATCTGGCCACTTTGGAGAGCTATCTTGGCCATCATCTTCCTGGTTGCTATCATCTTGAGAACTTGGAGTAAGACTAGTCTTCAAAGGCAGAACTTGAAGCATGCTTGCACCATCACTTCCTCTGGATTCAAAGCTGCTGCTGTCCTGAGGACTAGAAGTTGGCTGTTGCAGGTGAACTTTAGTAAGTGTAGATTTTTTCATTTCCTTGATTTCAAAGCTTTCTTCAGGACTTCTGCTCAAAAATTTACTGATATATGACCAGAGCTTGCCACCTATGAACAAATATAACCAAAAAAAAAAAAAATTAAGATCCTCAAATTAATAGTTACTTAAGACATTAGAAAAACAAAAAAAGGATTCTAATAGTGAATCAAAAACAAGTCAACGAAACACATTAATATCAAGTGCCATATCAAGACAAGCATATTTAACAAAATGCCTTTTTGTTATTAGTGACTGGTGAGTATGGTTTCAAGCATAGCTGCTGATAGCAATTATTTTTAAAATGACAACCTATTTCTTCCTTTGAAGGGAAATTAAATATATACATATATACAGCTAAAGTCTGTTTTACATTTAAATATTTAGTCTTAGAAACACCGGATTATGTTCTGATCTGTTTATATAATAATTTTTTCAAGCATGGCCCCTTGGTCAAGTAGAAATACATAAATATGCTATAAACTACAGCTTATTTATTTAAAGCTGTAAACTACAGTAGGGGAAAGAAACAACAGTATTATTACTCCATTTTAAAAATGCCCAGTCCAGGACTAGAAGGGAAATTTGGCATCTGGCATGTAATTATGTCCTTACAAATGATATGGTAATACCGTGTTTCCCTGAAAATAAGATAGGGCCTTATATTTATTTTTCCTCAAGAAGATACCCTAGGGCTTATTTTCAGGGGATGTGTTATTTTTCCCTCAAAGCCTCAGCTTGCAGCACGCACAGGATGGCCAAGACCTGACAGGGGGAGCCGACCTTGGTGGGGCTGTCCACACCTTTCTGGTCACCTCTGGGATAGTAGCTGTCACAATGGGGCACATGTGAAGGGCTGCTCATCTTCTTTACCGCTACGTGACAAAATGCATGGGTTGTGCAGATACACTGCGTAGCCACGCCCATCACTAGGTCTTATTCTCAGGATAGGGCTTATATTGCACAAATGCTTAGAAATCCTGCTAGGGCTTATTTTATGGGCAGGTCTTATTTTCCGGAAAACACGGATAGTACTTTTCCCATTTCATGATCCCCCATACATATAATGTGTTCTTTAAGATCAAGTAGAGCTACTTAGGAAGATTTATTGGGTAGCCATTAATGAGACAAGTTATACTAATTAATTCTGTATTCTGATATATATCTATAAAACTAAACTAAAATCATAAAAATCACTTTCATGTAAGTCACAGAAATCTAATAAATATGAAATGATCAGTATTTTAGCAGTAATACTGCTATGGTAATTATTATTTCACCCTATTTTTCTGTTGTTTTATTTTATTTTTCTTTTATTTTCATTTTATTTTAACCATTAAAACTTCAACCCCTTTTGCTAATTAGAATCTTTTCATTAAAAAAACTACAGTTAAGTATCAAAAACCCACCACAGCTACATTGACTCCAAACAATACTACAAGAAAGAATTAAATTTGGTCTAGAAATCTCAAAAACAGTAATTGCAGGAGTATACTTTGTGAAGATATAACTGTAGTTTCCAAAAATAGAAAATTAAGAATAATGTATTAAAAATAAATCACCCTACTCATATGAAGAAGGCAGCTTTTTCAGCATATTTTTAAATGTTATTAAACACCATCTATCAAGGACAGATAAATCTTGACAAAAAAAATCACTGACTGTCAATGCATATGTAAAAAAGTCAATGGAAGCCTCCCCAAAATCTTTTTCTATTTTACATTTTATTTCATTTCAAGGAATTCAATAAATACATAAAGTACCTAACACTCTGCCCAGCATAGAATAAAGGCTCAATAAAGGGTAATTGTCATAATATTAATCCTGGGATTTTCATACATCTCTTTCTAGCAGTGATGTACTTAACAGTCTTCTACTATCCTTCATTCTGATAATAGTAATATAGGACATTATGGTGTTTAATTTTTCCCTCTCTCTCTTTTTTTTTGTTTAGCTAATACTCTCTGTCCTCTCTAGAGTACTCAGTGTTTCACATTTCCCCATATTCAAACTGAAGTTTAAGGATCCATACTGTATATGGCTTTGAAAATCACTCACTCATAAAAGGAGCTAAGCACTAAGTCCATATTATTTAGTCTTTTGACAACACATTCCTCTTATCACAAATACCTATATTGTGGCACTCTAACAGTAAGGCCTGAACCTGAAGCTAAGAGTCTTGTATGCAATCCAAATAAAATGACTTGTGTGGTTTTCAGTTCTCCTAGATGATGACTGCTTTTGGGAAAGGACCAAGTCTTTTTCATCTGTGCACTTCCACTGCCTATATGGTGTGCAGGACACGACAGGCATTCAGTCAATGCTTGTTAAATCAGATGCTGACTCATCAGAATGAGATGAGCCATCACAAACTAAATAGTGTGTGTATCTGTAAAGTTCCAGTGATCAGAAATAAACAGTACCTAATAGAGTTCTAAGAAGAGTTTCATTCATTCTTAGGCCAATTTTATCTGGATGAGCTACTGAAGTCTAAAATTCAACGCACTTAAATTCTTTATTGTTGTCCCTGAAATCATTTCCTCTTTCTGAGTCACTCTGGCACAAAAGCTTTAGACCAAACATGGGCTTTTTTCTCTTTCTTGCTCTTCCTACATTTGACAAGTTTCCAAGTCCTATAGGATCTACCTATAATCTTTCTCCCAGCCATTCTCTTCTTTTAATTCCTTTGACCACACTGTGCCTTCTGGGATAATGCTATAGTTACAATGGGATCCCTACTTTAAATCCAGTATCATTCTATCATAGTAATTGCTGCTCAATTAAACTTCCATTTTAGTACAGAACTTACTGCATCATTTCTCCACTCAAGAATTCAAATCTCCTCCATCTACTGAATCATGTACCAACTTCACGTAGGCATTTGAACTCCTCAGTAACACAGAGTATCAACCCATGATTTGGTCTTCTTCCCTTACTCATTGGATTTCCCCACATAGAACCCATGGCTGGGCTCTTCCTCATACTACACTCAGAATTTTTTTCCTACTAGTGTCCCCAATATCTGCTTGTCAAAATCCTACCCATTCTTGAAGGTTCTTCAGAATCTGTTCTTTTTTTAATCACTTTTTTGCATCCCTTCACTACATACAATTCATATCTTCTCTGAATCCTCTATATTCATCCCTCTTATGAGTATTATGATACTATTTCATATTAATACCACTTTTATGTTTCTATTATCTCCTTTACCAGACTGCAAGGTCTTAATAGCTGCAGGAAGAGGATTCTATCTAGCATGTATTAATAAAATAGATATTAAATATTTATTAAACTGAGTTATTAAAAACATAACATTTTTACAAAATTTTTAAATACTTTTCAAGGAAAAGGGTCTATAAGTACTAATAATGGCATTTTGGGGGTTATACTTTCTTCCTATTTTAACACCAATATATAGTTTTATTGTAAAATTTTCAGAAAATATATAAAATAAGGAAACCAATTAAAATTCAGAATATACAAATCAGCCATAATTCCACACCTAATAATAAACACTATTAAACTGTTACTACATTTATTTTTAGGCTTTTTATTCACAATTAACATCATATCATAAATAGTTTTTAATTTGCATGAGAATTATGAGCTGAATAGCTATATAGCATATCCATATGACCAGATATTATGATGTATTTAAATATTTCTCTATTATTGGACATTTGTTTCCAGTCTTTTATCATACTATTAGAATTAAAATAATAAATACTTTTATATACAAATACTTGACATCTCTGGGTATTTCAGCAGGACAGAATTCCAGAAATGAAAGTACTGGATCAAGAAGCATGAATATTTTTAACATTTCTGATATGTGTTGCTAAACTGCCTTGCTAGCAATGTATAACAGTGCCATCTTCACAGCAACTTGCTTGTATCAGATATTAGCAAGTTTATCAATTTGATTAATCAAATATGGCGCCTTTTTTGATTTCCACTGATTTCATTACATAAATTTTTAAATGTGATTGTTGGCATTTTCTTTACGGAATCTGGTCCAGGCCTAAATAAGTGCTCTAATATGAACACTAGAAAATGCATTTTCAAGGGGAAAAAACTGTTTTAGCTCTTTCCCAATCTCTGCTGGATGTCCAGTCAAATTTATTTAATTAATTAATTTATTTTTAATTTTCTGGCCAGTAAGGAAAAGAAACCCAGTTAAATCTGATCTTCAATTTGGAGCTACAGAAACAAAATTTTGGTCCCATCACATACTTTTCTCAATTATAAAATCATGAAAATCACTTAACATACAAGAATACATTATTCCCACTGAAGTTTCTCACCCACACAAGCTGGTGGGGTTTTTACCTTCTGCAGTTAAGCTCAGGCCTAATAGGCAAACTTGGACAAACATCAACACTATAATTATAATAGCATTAACATTAACCTTAAAAAAACTCTATTATTGCTAAATCATAAAGCATAAATAGAAAATACCTAAAATGTATAATATTTAACATGTTAAGAATATAAATGACACTTTTCTAAGCCCTTTTGAAGCATATAAAATTGCAGATATTAGACCATTTTAAGCTATGAAAACAACAATTCATTAAAACTCTCTGTCACTCATCAGATTTTAATCTTTAGGTTTTCTACAAGACCACAAAGTAAATTTGTTAATTTGCTTGGCCAAAATTAGAACTTAGATTTAATATGTATGATAAAATATTGCTATAACAGTGATTGAAATCATCTTTTGACCCAGCAATTCCACTTCAAGAAATCTGTCCTACAAATAACTTTCAAATCACAAAAGAAAACAAAAATGCACAAAGATATATATGTACAAGCACTAGAAACACCTTAAACACCAATTAATAGGGGAGTAGTTAAACACATTATGCTAAATCGGCACAATCACTTTGTGTATATACTCAAATAAATTGATAGCTATTTACAAACACATAGTGCTCAGCATGTACCAAATACTATTCTAAGTGCTTTACATACATCAACTATTTAATCCTCACATCAACCCTATGAGGTAGCTAATTATCATTATCCCTACTTGACAGATGAGGAAACTGAGGCACAGAAAGGTTAAGTAACTTGCCCAAGGTCACACGACTAGTGATAGGGAACCAGCATTTGTATTCACGTAGCCTGGCTCCACAAACCTTGTTTTTAGTCACTACATTACACTGCCTCTCTTAACATAGACCTATATATACTGATAAGGAAAGATGTCCAAGGTACATTGTTAAGATGGGGAAAAGGCAAGCTAAAGGCAAAATGTAAGACCTATTTAATTTTTTTAAAAATGGGCCAGGCATGGGCTCACACCTGTAATCCTAGTAAGCTGGGAGGCTGAGGTGGGCAGATTGCCTGAGGCCAGGAGTTTAAAACCAGCCTGAGCAAGAGTGAGACCCCATCTCTACAAAAAATAGAAAAATTAACTGGGCGTGGTCACAAACACCTGTAGTCCCAGCTACTCAGGAGGCTGACGTAAGAGGATTGCTCCAGCCCAGGAGTTTGAGGTTGCAGTGAGCTATGATGATACCTGTGCTCTAGACTAGGAGACAGAGTAAGGCTCTGTTTCCAAAAAAAAAAAAAAAAAAAAAAAAAACCCACAACAGACAGGTAAGAAGTATATGTTTATAAACATAGAAAATTTTTGGAAGATACAAAATAGACTGTTAAAAAAGAGTGCCTATTTCTAGAGAATAGGACTAGGCATGAAAGGTAAGGAGGGAGAATTTTTATTTTTACTTTATGTACTTCTGTATAGTTTGAATTTATTTGTTTATACATTCATTTTATAATATAAAAAAACTAGTTAATAATAGAATCATTTCACTCCTTGGGTCCCTAAGTAACTTGAAGAGAAATTCCACACCCCACTTCTAGTTGGTATATCCACAGTCAGAGGCTTCTACTACCTTTGTCTTTTAACCTGGTCTTTCATCTTTTCTCTGACCGACTCAGTATTCAACAATTATACACTGAGCACCTTAGATATATATGATGAATATGACATAATCCCAAATCTTAGAAATTAAATACTCATGGCCTAGACTGAATACATTGTTTCCCCACTTTTCTTCCTCAAATAGAGTTAAAATAAGGGATTCAAAGAAAAATAAACATTGTAAACCTCTACCCTAAAATCCTTTCTGGTATATCTAACTGCCTACTCAATACCACCTGAACATTTAATAAGTACCTCAAACTCACAGGTCCAAAACTGAATCCCTCATTTTTCCTTCCTACCACTTAGTAAATGGAAATTCCAATCTTTCAATTATTTGAGCAAAAAACCTCAGAGTCATATAAGGCAGAATCTTGTGTGTTCTACCTTCATAACATATTCAGACTAATAAGCATTCCGCACAACCTCAACCACTAACACCTTGTTTAAGCCATCCTCATTTTCACCTGGATGCTGCTTCAACTTCCAAACTGGTCTCCCTTCTTTTGCCCTTGCCTTCCTATATTCTATTTTCCATAAAGCAGTCAGTGTAATCCCTATCTTATCACTCCATTGCTCAACATACCCCAATGACTTCCTATCTCATTTGGAGTAAAAGTCAAGTTCTTGAAGTGGCCTATGACACCACATAGGACCTGCCTGCCTCCTCACTGCTCTAAGCTCACTTCCTGCCACTCTTCCCATTCTGCTCTGGCCACTCTGACCTTGCTCTTTCTTGCATATCAAGCATACTCCTGTCTCTGGGCCTATGGATTTGTTCTTTCTTGTCAAGGCATCCTTCCCTCACATGTCCACATTGCTCCTTCTCTTGCTTCCTTCCAGTCTCTGGCCAAATGTTCCTCCTCAATAAGGTGATCACCCTACCATCACCACTGTTTTAACATCCCCATCCCCTTTCCTCACCACTACCATCACCACTGTTTCACCACTACCATCACCACTGTTTTAACATCCCCTTCCCCTTTCCTTTAATTTTTCTTTATACCATTTATCTCCATCGACATACATTTACTATGTATTTGCTTATTGTCTGTGCTGTCTCTATAAGGTAAGGTACACTCTATGTAGGCAAAGTCTTCTGTTTTATTCACTGCCTCATTAGAACTATACCTGTCAGTAAATGACCATTTTACAATGTAAATCAGAACCTGTCACTCCCTAAGAGTCTAATAGTTTCCCAATGCATCTGAATAAAAGCCAAAGACCTTCTTTCCCTGCCTTACAAGGCTCCAGCCTGCTTCTCCAATAGCCTCATATACCACTGTTACCCTCACCTATGACACTCCAACCACATGGTTCCTTTCTTGTTCATCCAACATTCCACATTTGTTTTTACACTAATCCCTATGCCTGTAACTTACATTCAAATGGTTGTTTCTTTTGCCATTGAGAACTCCTTGACTATCTAAAATAGTCCCCTAGTTGTTCTCTATTAGAACTCCCTGCATTAAAGATCAGTATAGTCCCCATTATTATCCAATGTTCTCTTGCTCTTTATTTTTCTATTTGACCCTCCACAATGAGAATTTAAATTTCAGAAGGGCAGACTCCTTTTCTGTCTTACTCACCTAAAAAACAGCCTAATATATAGTAACATGCTTAATAAATTTGTTAAGTATTAAATAAATCCAGAGCCTCTATTTGCACTATAATTCACTGTCATGTATCATAAAACCTTCTTAAAACTAAACAATAGACACCTGAAATGAATGGTCAAAAGAGACAAATTCTATGGTCATGTGACCATTCAAAGTCAGGTGTGGTCAATGGTAAAGGAAAAGAGCCTTGGTAAAGATGATCTAAAATTGGAAAAATTGAGTCATGTGTCTATGACTTTAAGACATAGCTATTAAGAGGTAGAAGGGAAGGTGAGAAGATACCAGAAGAAAAATTGAAGAATGATTGGGAGAAGGAAGAGGAGGAAGAGGAAAATAAAGCTACAAGTGACAGAGGTAAGCTAGGATTGAAAATTTGCCATACATAATCTCCAACATGAATAATCCACACTGGGTAATAGAATATTGACTATAATTACATTCATCCTACTGACCTTGTTCTAAATTATTATGGATTATTACTACGCAAGTTATTTTGTTCCACACCAGAGGTGGCTGTATTTCGCTATCAGATGACATGACCTCTAATTCAATAATGTCTGTAATGCACTGGTATCCTCAGATAAAAGCTGTCTATAATGTCTGAACAAAGGTGAATTAGTTATCCAATTCACACACGCAATTAACTCTCTTAATACCTGAGAGACCATGGAGCCCCTTCTGAATTTCCTATTAAATACTGCATATGGAGGTCTTCCCTCCATCTGTAGTTATCTTGTGCTGTACTTCATAATAAACAATATTAATAGTTTATTGCCCCTGTCAAAAATCTTGCATTAGTTATCGTAAGAGACCCCATTCCAGAAAGCAATAACTCTTTTTCCTGGGAAAATGTATTAAATTCAAATGTTATGCCTATTAGTAAAGCACAATAGTTCTTTATTTTCAGTAATATAAAAATAATAATGCCTTCATGAAATATGGAAAATACTTGAATTTTTTACTATTTTAAGAACATTTCCTAAAAGCCAAAAGGCAATATTTGTTAAGTGAATTTATATTTATATGCTTTATTCAGTCATTCTAAATAAAAGACTATTTATTTAAATTCAGGTGTTAAAGGGCAAATACAAATCAAAACATAATATTTTTTTGCCACCTGTTCTTTCTACTAAGAGATGAAATTTCATAAATAGTTGGAAGGCAGAGCACTGTGCCTCTGCTTTGTACCCATATGTGATGCCAATGGCTGTATTCATAAAAACTCAGATCAGAATAACTAGGTAATGTCAAATGTTAAACAAACACCCTTGCCTTCTAAAAAAAAGGAGGTAATTAATTAATTCTTCAGGGGATGCTTTTCATTTTAGTCATCTAACACAAATGTATCTTTTTAGCAGGGAACAAGAGAACAAAATATTCCTAAAATAAAACTTAACTCTCTTAGCATGCATGCACATTAAAGTTCTCTTATATTAGATAAATTCTATGAGAAAGTAAATAGGTAAGTATATCTCAGAAGGGTATTACAGTTCAAATAAAATCTACTGTTCACCTGGGTTTTCATTTTCCCTCACATTTCAAAGTAGGGAAGTAGAGCAGAGGAACAGTTTCTTACATTTGTCTCATGTATTTTATCTGCTCACGAAATGACAAAAGAAGGACATTATAGAAACTGAAAGCTAAGTGGGTGACATTCTTCACTCTATAAACAATCCAAGCCATAAACCAACCTTCTGCATGCTGCAGCACAAGAAATACTGACTCCTCAGAGATGATGTACTTGTGCAGACACACCATGTTGGGCACACAGCGGGGGATGATGGTCTTTCTGTTCCTGCTGTATTCACTGCTTTTCCTTAGACCCTGACAGAGAACAAAAAGGTCAGTTGTATCCTCAGTTGCCTTTGGAGCCTGCTGTGCTCTGTGTTTATCAACCAAACTAATCTATCCGAGTTACTCTGGGCTTCAGAGAAACCACTCATCTGCTGCTCTATGCCCCTCCGTCCCTGGAGGCTCTGCTGATGGCATCTGGCGTGAATCCAGAGAACGGAAGATGCCACAAAGCTGCCATTAAAATCAATTACGTGGGTCAGTGTTTTTATTAGAGATGCTCTCAAACTAAGTCATCAGGATGACACACAGTTATTTCTCTATGACCTTTTCTTAAGTTTTATTTTACTTATATATATCTTCAAAGCAGTAGCTTGTGAGACCAAATTCCTGAGACACAAAAAGTATTCCTAGATTAACCAGGTAATTTTTTTTAAAGTACAAAGATTATTAAATCTTCTTACAAGAAACAACGTTTGTGCATTTTCTGGTGTCATGCCCTAGTTTTAAAAACAGGGGAAATGTCAATGTATTATTCACAAAAAGAAATATGTTTCTGTATGTGTCAATGTGTCCTACTGCCATGCCTTATCAGCAAAAGTATCATAAACAGAAATATAAAATTGATCAATTCATCTTCTGAATGCTATTGGAAACGCTTAAATCACGATATTTTTAGAATATATACTATCACAATCCATTCCAAATACAATTTCAAATTCACAAATTTGAGAGTTTTTTTCTCTCCTTAGTCATTTAGTTATAAATTGAATTGTATATAAAATCAAAACTGAATTTAGATGAAAAAGAAGGCCAGGGATATAGATAACACTTTCCCAAATACCTGTAACAAAGACTTTAAGGCAAAATTTCAGCTCTTAAGAACTACAGTCATAATCAAAGGTGAGATTGTATGTGGTCTTCACAAACTATAATGTATTTGAGATGTATTTAAACTACAGACTACACATTTAAATAGTATGAAATGGTTCCTCAATTTATCCAAATCATTCCTCCATACTCTATAACATAAAACTCGTTTTAAATATATGCTATTGAATATTTATCAACTGTGATAAAAGGAGAGAAAGGAAAATAAATGCATGGCTGGGCATGACGGCTTATGCCTGTAATCCTAGCACTTTGGGAGGCCACAGTGGGAAGACAGCTTGATCTCAGGAGTTCAAGACCAGTCTAAGCAATATAGTGAGACCCCATCTCTACAAAAAATACAAAAATTAGCCGGGCGTGGTGGTGTACACCTGTAGTCCCAGCTACTCAGAAGGCTGAGGCAGGAGGATCACTTGAGCCCAGGAGTTTGAGGTTGCAGTGAGGTATGATGATGCTACTGCACTCTAGCCTGGGCAACAGAGTGAGCCCCTGTCAAGAAAGAAAAGAAAGAGAAGAGGGAGGAAAGGAAAGGGAAAGGGAAAGGGAAAGGGAAAGGGAAAGGGAAAGGGAAAGGGAAAGGGAAAGGGAAAGGAAAGGAAGATCACCAAGAGATCACCAACAACATAAGGAACATTCAAAATACCCAGGCAGAAAAATATTAAATGTCTTTTATTTCAGAATCATAATTTGAAATAAAATTTTTTAATTCATTAAACATACAAATTCTACTTACTTTTAAAATGAATGTCTGTTCTGTCCTTGTGTCCATTACAAGTAAAACCTACATAAAAGACATGAGTAATACTTTATTTACAATACAATGAGAGAATTACTCAACTTTTGGAAACTAAACTTTAAGGATTTTGGGAAAAGAGGCTGGAAATGACTCCCCCAAAAGTTATTAATTTCTGAATAGATTTTTTTTTTAAATCACCAATCACAAGATCAAAACAGTCTTATCCAAAATGGGTTTTATTAGTTTCCTTTTCTAAAACTGCTACATTTTAGAAACATTACTATGTTTCCTAGATTTATTTTAAAATATATTTCTTAAAAGTAAAAGAAATATTAGTGTAGACAAAGATTTTTTCCTCATGGAATATGTATGGTCAAGAGGAAGTGGTTAAAAAAAATTGCTGAAGTCTCAGTTTTCTTCCTAAAACCCATTATGTAGCAACTTGCTATAAGGTAATCTCAATAACTCAGACATAGCCTACGGCATTCTTTTGGTTCTACTTCTCCACCCTGGACTCACCCAAACCTCCTCTCTTTACCATAAGCAAACCCTGTCAGCTCTATCTTCAAACTGTATCCAGTACCTGAACTCACCTCACCACTTACACAGCTACTACCCCAATCTAAGCAAAGACCGACTCTTACCTAGCTTATAACAACAGTCTCCCAAGTGATCGCCCTGCTTCCATCTTTGCTGCCCTGTGGTCTACCTTCAAATTAGCATCCAGGGTTTTGTTTTAAAATACAAGTGAGAACATAACACTCTTCTCATCTTACTGAGAGGAAAAAACCTAAGTCCATAAAATGGACTTCATGACCCTTCACGATGTCACCCATTGCTCCCAACCCCTATCTTGATGGACAGAAGGAGTGAACAGAGGTAGGGAACTAGTCTACCCTATTAAATTTTTATTATTTGGGAAATACTATAGCAAAGGTTAATAGTAAATACCAGATAGTAAATACTTTTAGGCTTTGCAGGCCCATGAAATCTCTGTTGCAGCTTTTCAACTCTGCCACTGTAGAACAAAAGCAGCCATAGCCTGAAATTGGCCATGATGGAAGGATTTGCACCAAAGAAATCAGAAAATACTGCAAATGAGGCTTTCTCCCGCCTCCAGAAAGCTGAATGTCAAACATTTAGCAGCCTACCACTAGGTAAGGAGAGACAAGAGTCAAGGATGTAAAAACATGTTAAGCTTGAGAAAATAAAAGAATGGTGGTAAGAAACAGAAAGGTTAAGTTGGGAAACCAGTTTGAGAGGATGGTAAATTCCATTTTAGACATGATAAATTTAAAGAAATAGTAACAACTTCATCTATGACCTTTCTTCTGAGTGTTGGATCTATCCCATATTATTTAAATTTCCATTTAATTTCAGGAGAATAGTCCCACGGGTACCTCATGAAATCCCATCTTCCTCTTCCCCAAACCCTGCCCTCACCAAAAACAAAACCAAAAAAACCCCTGCTCCTCCTTCTACAGTATTATAATATCACACTCCATACAAGCCCCCAAACCGAAGAGCTCCCTAAGTCACTGTGAACTCTCTTCTGTCTCTGACCTTCAGAACACTGACCAAGTCAAATCAATTCTACCTCCTAAGCACTTCTCTTACCCACCCTCTATTCTCTCTCATTTATCATGTTGTGTTTACCATGTGCTATGTTTTTGTCATATGTCATCAACGTCAATCCTTTCAACACAATGAGATAATTTTACCATTCCTATTCTACATATGAAAACATAGCTTCATGTGTAGAAGCTATAATGGTAAATAATAACAGTATCTACCACTTGTGAGCATTTCCATGAGATAATCTTACAAAAGTATAGCCAGCTGTTAGTATTGCTATCACTATTATTTCGTCTCGCTGAAATATTCCCCCAGACGTTTATCAAACAAGTACTTATATTTCCATATTCAGCACAAATGTCACTCTCAGTAACACGGAATACATTCTTCCTTTTTGTTCTCCCATTTTATACAGTAGCAATTTCTATTGTAGTATCTCTAACCCTTCAACTTGATTTTATCTCCCAATTAGACTTGAAGCTCTTCATGATACCACAGGAAGAATAATGGCTCCCAAAGATGTTCATATCCTAAGAATCTCCAGAATCTGTGAATATGTTCTATTAGTTGCAAAAAGGACTTTGCAGAAGTAATTAACATACAGACCTGAAAATAGAGAGATTATCCTGGATTATCTGGGTGGGCTCCATCAAATCACATGAACCCTTAAAAGCAGAGAACTGTCTCCTCCCAGAATAAATGAAAACCACAGACAAGAAGTGGCAGAAGGGGAAATCAGAGAAATGTAAAGTATGAAAGGGACACACAGTTGCTGGCTCTGAGAGACCCACATGTAAGAACTGAATCTCATAGCAAGCCTGAAAAGGAACACAGGCAACTTCTAGGAGCAAAGACCAGCCCTTGGCTGATAGCCAGCAAAGAAATATAGAGTTCAGTCCTAAAACTGTGCAAAGAACAGAATTCAGCCAACAACCTGAATACTCTTGGAAGTGGATTCTTCTCCAGGGTCTCCAGTTATAAATGCAGCATTGCTAGCACCTTGATAATTACCCAGTGAGCCCTATGCCAGACCTCTGACCTACAGAACTTTGAGATGATAACTTCAGTTATTTTAGGCTGCTAAGCGTGGCGATTTGTTATTACAGCAATAGAAAACTAATAGAAAACAAAAAATGCATTTCTTCTGTCACATAACACTGTTCTCACACAGTAAATGTTCAATAAACATGGTTAGTGAATTCTAGTCTAAGTCTGGAAGGTAGATGGAGATATGGGAAGCTTAGAAAATAAGTCAGGAGCTAAAGACTTATATTTGAGCATTCTGCATAAAGATAAAAGCTGAAGACATGCGAATGTACCCCACTAAAATGCTTCCTTTATCCTATGCACTGTGCTAGGCTTCAAAGAATTAAACCATATAATGCCCTCAAAAATTGAAAGATGTAGTACCTTTTATTAACCAATTTTAGAGATGATGAAACCAAACATAAAAGTGTTAACTTGTCCACGTTCACAAAGCTAAGAAGTGGTAGAAGTGAAATTTATACCTGGCTAGTCTGGCTCTAGAGTTGTTCCTTTGTTGCCCAGGCTAGAGTGAGTGCTGTGGTGTCACCCTAGCTCACAGCAACCTCAAACTCCTGGGCTCAAGCAATCCTGCTGCCTCAGCCTCCTGAGTAGCTGGGACTACAGGCATGCGCCACCATGCTCGGCTAATTTTTTCTATATATATTAGTTGGCCAATTAGAGTTGTTCCTCTTTAACTGCTAAGTTACACTATGTCTAAATTTTGGAAAATTATACGTAGTTGGAATATTGTGGGTAGATAAGACAACAACAATCAAAGCCATAGGTAGAAAAGTACAAAGAGAAAATATAGTGATTTGGATGTCAGAGAAAGAGAATGTTTAAGATGAGAGTAATCATCAGTGCCAAACAACAAAGAGAAACCATGAAGAATGAGGACTGCGAAATGATCACTGTGTAACGCAGTTAGGAAGTCACTGGTAACTTTCAATATTGTATTATTATGTAGTGAACTGCTGAGGATAGAAGCCAGACTGCCCTGAGTTAATAATGGGTGATAAGAAAATGGAGGTGACACATATAAATCTCTCAATAGTGAAGTTATGTCAGAAGAAGGAAGAATATTAAAATGAAAGAATTGGTGGGATCATCAGTTCAAAAAAAGGTTGGGATTTTTATTATTTTCAGGCAGGATAGACCTATTCTCCCCATAATTGCCTTCTGAGCTATATTCACCACAAATCTTAAACTGCCAAGGCATGGGAACACATTCATAGAACTTGAACTTTGAAAGTTAAATTAGCGTATCATGAATATAAAAGGAGGCAAAATGGCCCTTAATCTACAACGGAGGGCTCACTGAACATCTGTTGAATCTCTGAAGACATTTAGTGTTCTTTAAGTCTCATTTGTTTTTATATCAGGTGTGACTCTTGTAAGTCACTCACCAGAAAGCTAATCTGTTAGAATAAGATACATCTATATGAAACAGAAAAGATCTTACTAGGTAAAAGATATGGAAGCTGTGTCATAAAAGGAAAGAACTTCTTTTTGCTACCAAAAGCTTCTTAATTGACTAAACAGAATATACCTGTATAAATCAAGAATGATATCTCTTTGCTGGTCTCACTTAGTCATGAAGTATGAAGCAGATCAGATAAAAACACCAAATTAAGATGGATAAACAGGGCTGGGAAATGCTGCTTTGTTTACATTTACTTTCTTCTCCTACCAAGTTTGTTTGCAACTAGACAATGTTCACATTGAGGCAATAAACACAAGAACATATGTGATTTTTTTAAAATCTGCCCTTTGACTGTCAATTTCTCCCAAACAGGTGTTGGCTAAATGATTATAAATTGGCCTCTGGATACACCTCTTCAACTGAGCCGTACAGGGCTGGTGATAATATAATTAGACCTAAAAACATCAGGCTAGTGAATGCTTTCCATCTGTTTGGCAATAATGTTTAGTTAACAATAGTCTTTAAAAGAAGCACCTTCAACTTCAGTTCTTAAAGTTATTTATAGAGCCATTCTTAACACACCAGCACTCCTGCTAACAAGAGCTTTAGCCACTTGGAAATTATTAGCCATACAGCTGTACACAAAGAGAAACGACTGCATTTAACATCTGTATCTTTCCAAATTTATACGCTTCAACCTCATTTAAAGTCATTTCTTAATGAACAGTGCTATGGTGCTGCATTAATATTATAGTTGCATGCACAAAGATCATAAGGAGCCAAACATTTTTTTTAATGCCAACAGTAGGCCAATCTGTAACGAAGCTGTCAGCATAAAGGACAAAATAATAGCTTCTTTAACCCTCAAACGGAATTTGTTCATTTCTAGACTAGAACACATCAATTTAAAAACTGCTCATGGGTTTGCTCACCTTTATAAAGACAAAAATCTAATTTGTACTAGTTTGATACAATTGTCTTTCCAACAATAAAAGACTCCTAAAACCATCTTTTATTTCAT